ATAATGCTGGCACGGTATCCAAATCAGAAAGGTAGATCACTTGATCAACTCAATTAGTTCTGGGGCTACAGAGCATTGCTAGTGTATCATGTAGTCATTAAATGGATTGGGCCTTTTAAAGGAGTTTAAATGGTTCAAGTTTATTTATGTCAGTAACTAATTGGGCCTAATGGGTCACACACGAAGGTTATTCTTTATTGCAAGTTATAGCAAGTTTGGACCAATAATGAGTTATTGGGCTTTGTCAAGACTATGAGTCAAGTTGGGTTGGAGTAGGGACTCCAAGCCCACTTGATCCATGCGCCCTTTTGGGGCATTAGTGGTGAAAGAGTTTCCTCCACTAATGGGCCCAAATATGATGATAGGCCAAAGAAGCCTTGGGGCATGAATCCTAATAAGTCAAAGAGTTGACTTGACCAAAATAAGGTTTGGGCAAATTTGAAATTTGAAATTTGAAATTTGAATTTTTGAAATTTGAATTTTGAAATTTGAATTTGAATTTGAAATTTGAAATTTGAATTTCGAATTTCGAATTCGAATTACGAACTTGGATAAGATTGAATTTATATTTGAGTTTAAATTTCAAATTGGAATTTGAAATTCGAATTTGATATTTAAATTCTATGAGGTTAGGTTGTTGAGAATAATTTAAAATTATTTAAAGGAATAATCCAATAGAGATTGGATGAAGATTCTCTCAACTACTCTTTCATTTGAATTCAGAATTTAAATGAATACCGTTGCAACAAAATTTCTGAGGAAAGGAAAGGTATTAAAGGGGCGCATAATTAAAGGGAGTGAATCAAGGAAAGTCTCTCTCATCCTTTTAATGTGTGCGCCTAATTAAAGGGAGCTGATGTGGGGCGCATAATGAGATGGAGAGAATCAAGGAAAGTCTCTCTCATCACTTTAACTTGTGCGCCTAATCATAGGAGGGGCTTATGTGGTTGATCAGTTCTTTTATAAAAACCTGATGCATCATCTCTCCAAGTGTGTGTAGAATTCGAAAAAGAAAAAGCTCCAACCTTTCCTTCTCTCTCTCTGGTTACACCATCACCTAACCTCAAGACACCATTACAGTCTTGATAAAATAATCCAAACACTTGGTAGCCTATTCCTTGCATGCGCCTAGCCAGCCACCGAGGATAAGGAGGGATTAAGGAGAAAGAGTTCTCGCTAGCAAGAAGGAGATAACCATGTGGATCACCGTTGGAGGGTGTCATCTTTTTGCGCCTACAAGTGAAAAGGTAATTCTGAAACCCTATATCGTTTCAACGTAAAGCATTCATACATAGGGTGTATAGATGGTCTATGCTTTCGCTGCGAAAAATTTTTGTTTTCCACCTATGTATGCGCACCATGGTATGACCATGGTGCAGTCTTTCGAACCTTCACTCTCCCATACAAGGCTCGAAAAGGAGTCATTTGAATAGACCGGTTGTATGATGTATTGAACCAAAATTCTGCCCAAGATAGCCACTTAGCCCAACTCCTTGGATGGCCATTCACAAAGCAACGCAAGTAAGTCTCCAATGTACGATTAACCACCTCTGTTTGCCCATCCGTTTGTGGATGGTAGGCTGAACTAAACCTCAACTTGGTGTTGGTTAGCTTGAATAACTCACACCAAAAATTATTAAGAAAGACACGATCTCTATCTGATACAATAGACTTCGGAATACCGTGCAAACGAATCACCTCCCTCATGAAAACAGCCGCCACTTTCTGTGCATCATATAGATGTTTAAGGGTCATAAAGTGTGCATATTTGGTGAGTCTATCCACCACTACCAGTATGGTATCCACCCCCATCAAATTGGGTAGTCCAGTGATGAAGTCCATTGAAATCTCCTCCTAAACTTGTTGGGGAATGGGTAATGGTTGTAAAAGGCCAGCAGGCTTCATATTGTTATATTTCTGCTGCTGACACACACTGCAAGTTCGGACAAGTTCCACCACATCTTTACGTAGTCCCTTCCAATAAAACACAGCTGCCACTCTCTTGAAGGTTCGCAACTCCCCTGAATGGCCCCCCCATGGAGATGAATGAAATTCCTGCAAAATATTAGGAATATGAGGAGAAGATCTAGGAAGCACTAATATGTTCTTAAACCACAAGCAGCCCCTTGAGACTGAGTATCCTGGATGCGAATTGTCATCCAATAATACATCTGTCATTATGTTCCTGGTGACTGGATCCTGAAGTACCTCCTCTGATAATTTCTGCAAATCTGGACTGGTGATTAATGAGAGCACCTTGTAGTCCATAACCCGAGATAACGCGTCAGCCGCAGCATTCTCAACCCCCAGTTTGTATTGTATCTCAAAATCGTACCCCATTAATTTAGCAACCCACCTTTGCTTCCCTTCTACCATAAGTCTCTGTTCTGTCAGATATTTGAGACTCCTTTGGTCAGTCCTAATCACAAAATGGCGACCCAATAAATAATGTCGCCATTTGGTAACAGCAAAAACAATGGCCTTGAGTTCTCTTTCATAGACGGACAAGGACTTATCCGCTTCCGAAAAAGCCTTGCTGAGAAAAGCAATAGGGCATCCCAACTGCATCAAAACAGCCCCCATACCCAAGCCCGAAGCATCCGTTTCCACCACAAAACTGTCATCAAAATTCGGAAGTGCCAATGTGGGCAGCCCCAACATCTCCTGTTTCAGAGCTTCAAACGCCATCTGAGCTTCATCACCCCATATGAATTTATCCTTCTTCAATAGTTGGGTTAATGGTTTAGCAATACCCTTTGACAAAACGTCGATAATATCCTGTCAACCCCAAGAAACCCCTAAGACCCTTCAGATTCTGAGGAACGGGCCACTGCTGCACTGCTGCCAATTTTTGAGGATCTGCCATCACCCCATCCTTAGAAATCAGGTGACCCAAATATTCCAACTCAGTCTTTGCAAATGTACATTTTTTTAAATTTGCACAAAAGCAATTCTGTTTCAAGATTTCCAAAACCACCCCTAGATGATCAACATGTTGTTCCACACTCTGACTATATACCAAAATGTCGTAAAAAAAAACCAAGACGAACTTCCTCAAATACGACTTGAAAACAGTATTCATTAAGCCCTGGAAAGTAGAAGGGGCATTCCTCAACCCAAAGGGCCCAAAGGGCATTACAAGATATTCGTAATGTCCTTCGTGGGTGCGAAAAGGCGTCTTTTCTATGTCTTCAACACGCATACGAATTTGATTATATCCTGACTTTAGGTCCAACTTCGAAAAAATACCAGCTCCATTTAATTCATCCAACAGTTCATCAATAACAGGAAGAGGAAATTTGTCAGGGATGGTTACCTTATTCAAAGCCCTGTAGTCGACGCAGAATCTTCAACTCCCATCCTTCTTTTTGACCAGAATCAGGGGGCTCGAATACGGGCTGCAACTTGGCCTTATCATTCCCGCTTCAGACATCTCTTTCACAAACTTTTCAATTTCCTCTTTTTGATAATACGGATATCGATACGGCCGTATGTTTGGGAGCTCTGCATCTGGCTTCAATATTATCTTATGATCGCATGCCCTTGCTAGCGGCAGCTCTGACAGTGGTTGGAACACCTCGTCGTACTGATGAAGTAATTCTAAAATTTCAGGAATGTCTATCAATGGTTACTCCAACTTCTCGATTGGAGGTCTGTAGGTATGGTTTCTGGGATTTGGCAGAGGTTGGTTTGTGTTTGGATGATTTTTGAATTGGTTTCAACCTTAAGGGTGGCTGATCTAGGGTAGGAACGAACCCGCTCTTGATACCATATTGAAATATAAAAGAATTTCTTTTTTGTATATTGATTCTATGAATAAATTACATAAGGAGTATTTATACAAGAAAGAATAGTTAAGAATGACTAAGCGATGAGTAATCAATCCTATCAATTAGTCATCAATCCTATCTACTAATTAATAGGAAATAAAAACTGAAATATTTGAATCCTGATTTCCAACATTTCCAAAAAACTTACAAACCTTATTATTTTTCTTATTTATTATTTATTTTTCCTTAATATGTTCTTGCTTTTATAGAGGTTCATCAGCTGTCAACCTCAACTAGTTTGGATATAAGGGATGTTTCATAATGAGTTCGTGGTGATGCAAAAGTATATCACTTTTATTTTCTAGATTAAGGTAGAAGGTAGAGAGAAGTCAAATGTTATTTTAATTGATATGCAAAAATTATTTTTTAAAAAAAAGGTACAATGGAATATGCTACTTTGTCTTTTAATAAAAGAAACATTTCTTGAACAGGATGATAATTAAAAATGTACAAAAATGTCATTCAAAATAAAAACGGAAATGACAAACCAATTGTCATGAACCAACTCTATTAAGAGCTTAAACTATTACGTAAAGACACATGAATGGTTCTTATATTATATCTCTAACATGCCCTCTCATGCAAGAGTCCATTGGGCTTGAAGCATGGACAATACATGGGCCCTACCTTATGGTGAAATTCAAATTTTTTATTAGAAGAATGAGGGCGACAAGGATCGAACTCTAGCCCAATTGGTCATTGAGGCTCTGGTACCAACTAGAATTTGCAGAATTGTGTGCCAAATCTGACTACATAAGGTTTTTCTATATATTATAGTGAGGGAATAATTACAAATGATCCTTTTATTATTTACATGATCTTCTAATTGATTCAAATTGAATCCATACATGATTTCCTGTGATTCACATATCTGATAATAATCCAACGAATATCCTTAGAATAGGATATTCTAACACCAAAAAAGTAGAAATATAAATAGCATGAATAGTGTTGTCCCTAAAAATTGTTTAATTTCAGTTCAAGGACCAGATACAAAGAAAATTAAAATGATGCCATCCATATCTTATACGTGGATAGAAAGAGAAAACAAAAAATTGATATGTAAAATGTAGGGCATTTTGTGAAGGAGCATGGAAAATAAAATAAAAATGTCTGAATGGGAGTAAGAAACTCAAGCAAAAGGAGAAGAATCGAAAGTCAAAATTATACCAGCAATGGACCAATTTATCAACTGGTGCACTGCAAGCAACTCTTGCTTTTCAGTTCTGTGAGAAGTTGATAAATACACCATGATCGAAGATAAAGCAACCAAAAGAGCCTAGTGAGAGACAGGAAATGTAATCAGTTGATTTTTCATAAATTATACATAACTGAGTTTCCAAACACAATGGTAGAAAAGTCATGATATGCACCTGTAAGTAAAATAGAGATGAAAATTTGGGACTTTTCAGCTCACAATTGCATATAGTTAGCCAATACTTACTCTTCCCAGCATGTAAATCTAGCCACCTGGCAGCTATGCCTATAATGATAATAATAGCTCCACTACTAACTCTGCAAACACAATAATTTGATATGCTTAACAGTTTTGTTTGGATTCAGAATGAATTACAAATGATGAGACAGAAAACCGAGATGCTATAAAGAAAAAAGCAGCAAAACAAAGAGAGAACCTCAACAAGAGAAAAGTGGAAGTAAAAAATTGTAAAAGATCTTCCTAGTATGATAGTGTTAGAAATAATATTATTTTATTATTATTAGAATAGTCTAGAATAGTCTAGATTGTGGGCTTGGCCCATTAGGTCATCCCATTAGGTCTTTTTAGTCTCTATAAATAGAGAGCCTCCTTGTACAGACTTACACACTTGAATATACAATACATTTCAGATTCAATTTGGTATCAGAGCTCTCGATCTGAGGGCTCTACTTCCGCATATATATTTTTTTTCCTTTCGTTGTACTGCCGTGCATCATACCGGCAAACCTTTTTACCGCCGTGCATCATACCGGCAACCTTTTTCAACCCTCCGAACATTGTTAGACCCTTTTTCGATCTCAGATCGTCATCCTCCTTCATTATTTGACTAGAAAACACTGTTCACATCGCCAGAAACACTGTTCCGTCACTGTTCATCACTGTTCCGGCCACCTTTCCGGCGAGAAACCACGCGATCAGGATCCCCTCACGCCGGCGACCATTTCTGTCTAAGACCCGTCCCAAACGGCCGCCGCACGCGCCTCCACGCGCCACCACAGCTGTCTGCGCGTGGGCCTCACGCGCCACCTCTCTCCGGCGCGTGTGCACTGTTCCGGCCACCTTTTCCGACCAAACCAAGGCAGACAGGCTCGCCTCTGCCTCCTCCTTCCAGATCCAGTGACCGATCGTTGTGGGTCTATTCCGTTCGAGGGTTTCCAGTGCAAAAGTCGCTACTTTGTTCCTTTTTCGCGTAATTTTTATAGTTTTTTGGTTGTCTGATCGCTGTTCCTGATGGAAGGAACCAGTAAACATTCTTCCGGCATCATTTCAAGTGCTATTCCATCTATCACAACTCTGAAATTGACCGGATCTGCCACTTACAAGACCTGGTCTACCTCCGTTAAGATCTGGTTTACCGGTCAAGGCCATGACAAACATCCCACCACTAAGAAGACTGATATTTCCCAAGATCAGATGACTGAATGGGAGAAAGTTGATGCTCAACTCCTCAGTATTCTTTGGCAATCCATTGATTCATCTCTTCTCAATATTTTCATTCCTTTTGAGACCTGCTATGATGTGTGGACGGAAGCCAAAAACCTCTACACCAATGATATTCAACAACTTTATTCCATTGTCTCCCAGATGATGGATTTGCGCAAATCACCCGAAGCTCGTTTGGAAGTTTATGTTGGTAAGATTCGTTCTTTGATGCAGGAATTGTTGGCTATGTTACCTCATGCTGCGGATGCTACAGTGTACAGGACGCAAGTGGAGCGTCTCTTTACGGTTGTGACTCTCTCTGGTCTTCCTGACGGATTAGAAAGTGTTCGTGAGAACATTCTAACCAGTACTGCAATTCCCAGCATATCCCAGACCTTTCAGCGCCTTCTGAATCTTCAAGATAAGGTGGCTCCCGCACACGTCACAGCTACTGACTCTACTGCTCTCTTGTCTGATTCTGCTGCTTTAGTCTCTCGTGGTAATTGGAACAATGGTGGACGCGGTCGTGGTCCTGGCCGCGGACAAGGCGGTCGCGGGCCCATGACATCATATGGCCCAGGCGGGCACGGACAGACGATGTCGTATGGACAGGGTGGCCGAGGACAAAGGCCTCGGTGTAATTATTGCCAATATCTGGGCCACATTGAAGAACGTTGTTATAGAAAGTACCCTCACTTGAAGCCACCACATATGAACTTTGCTCAAACAGATGTTGTGCCGCCCTCTACCGGATCAGTGACTATTTCCGCTGCAGACTATGAGGCCCTTCTCCAGAAGAGTTCTTCTCAGCCACCTGCTCCAGATACTGGTAATCATGTTGCTTGTTTTTCTCAATCGTCTCTTGGACCCTGGATAATAGACTCAGGTGCTACTGATCATCTTTGTGGTAATAAGGATCTTTTTACTTCCCTTACCTTTTCTAATAATCTTCCCTCTGTTACTCTTGCTGATGGCACCAAGGCTCCTGCTCGTGGCATTGGGCAAGCCAAACCAACTCCCTTCTTGACTTTAACCTCTGTTTATTACATCCCTGGCATTCCTTTTAATTTAATTTCTGTTAGTCAATTGACCCATTCTCTTTCTTGCTCTATCACCTTTTCTAAACAGTCTTTTTCTATGCAGGATCCGGGTACGGGGAAGACGATTGGAGCGGGCAGTGAGTCACGAGGTCTCTACTATCTGCATGCACCCTCTGCTCCAGTTGCATGCTCTCTCACAGAGTCTCCTGAGCTTCTCCATAGCCGTCTGGGTCATCCAAGTCTCTCGAAGCTTCAGCATATGGTTCCTTTTTTGTCAGGTCTTAAGTCTTTGAATTGTCAGTCTTGTCAGCAGGGAAAGCATACTCGTTCTTCCTTTGCTAGTAGAGTCAATAAAAGAGTTGCTGCTCCCTTTTCTATTGTTCATTCTGATATTTGGGGTCCGAGTCGGACTATGTCAGTTTTGGGTTTTCAGTATTTTGTAACCTTTATTGATGATTTCTCCCGTTGCACTTGGGTTTATTTAATGAAAAATCGTTCTGAGTTATTTTCAATTTATCAAAAGTTTTGTGCAGAAATAAAAACTCAATTTGGTGCTTCTATTCAAATCTTGCGCAGTGATAATGCAAAAGAGTATGTGTCTCTTGAATTTTCTAAATTTTTGGATACACATGGGACGATACACCAGACTACTTGTCCCCACACTCCACAACAAAATGGAGTCGCTGAACGTAAAAATAGACATCTAGTTGAAACTGCACGTACTCTTCTCATTCATATGAACGTCCCACTTCGTTTTTGGGCAGATGCTATTATCACCTCATGTTTCCTTATCAACCGCATGCCCTCTTCTGTGCTAAATAATGATGTTCCCCACAGTATTTTGTTTTCCAGAGCACCTTCTTATCCTCTGCCTTTACATATTTTTGGCTGTACTTGTTTTGTTCATGATCTTACTCCAGGTAAAGACAAGTTGACATCCAAGGCCTTCAAATGTATTTTCCTTGGGTATACCCGTTTTCAAAAAGGGTATCGTTGCTATTCACCTGATCTCAAGCGTTATATCGTTTCTGCTGATGTCACTTTCCTTGATCAGCAGCCTTTTCACTCTACTTCGTCTCCAGTGTCACAAGTTGATCAGGTCCTTCCTGTTCCTTTTCTTGACTTGTCTTTACCAGCTGCAGGTGCCCCTATTCCAGAGGAGCAACCAATTACCTCCATACCTGCAGATCGTCCTCTCCTCACATACCAGCGTCGTCAGCCTGCACCTCCTCCGACTTTGCCTCTTGATGACTCATCGCCCTTTCCCGTCGGCTCTTCTCCTCCGGATCCTCCATCAGAGACTCCTCCCATTGCCCTTCGGAAAAGTATTCGATCCACTCGAAATCCTCATCCCCTTTATTCTTTCTTGAGTTATGACAGACTTTCTTCACAACATTTTACTTTTGTTTCTAGTCTCTCTTCTGTTTCCATCCCTAAAACCACAGGTGAAGCACTATCTCATCCAGGATGGCGCCAGGCGATGCTTGATGAAATGCAGGCACTTCACTCTAATGGCACTTGGGATCTTGTTCGTGCTCCTCCCGGGAAGTCTGTTGTTGGTTGTCGATGGGTGTTCACAGTTAAAGTTGGTCCTGATGGCACTGTTGATCGCCTTAAAGCTCGCTTAGTGGCCAAGGGATACACACAGATCTTTGGTCTTGATTATGGGGATACCTTTTCTCCTGTTGCTAAGATGGCTTATGTTCGCCTGTTTCTTGCCCTTGCCGCCATTCATCACTGGCCTCTTCTCCAACTTGATATTAAGAATGCTTTTGTACATGGTGACTTGCAGGAAGAAGTTTATATGGAGCAACCACCAGGTTTTGTTGCTCAGGGGGAGAATTCTGGAATGATATGTAAACTTCGGAAATCTTTATATGGCCTGAAGCAATCTCCTCGGGCCTGGTTTAGCCGCTTTAGTTCAGTTGTTGAATCCTTTGGCTTAATCAGAAGCAAAGCCGATCATTCTGTCTTTTACCGGCATAGCTCTTCTGGCCAGTGCGTTTATCTCCTGGTCTATGTTGATGACATTATCATTACAGGCAGTGATCAGATCGGGATTGATCAGTTGAAAGAGCATTTATTCAATCAATTTCAGACCAAAGATCTTGGCAGACTTCGATATTTCTTGGGGATCGAAGTTGCACAGTCTAGGCGGGGCATTTCCATCTGTCAGAGGAAGTATGCATTGGATATCCTAGATGAGACTGGAATGTTAGGCTGTAAACCCATTGATACACCTATGGACCCCAATGTTAAGTTATTACCAGGACAGGGGGAGCCACTGCCAGATCCTAGTCGCTACCGCCGACTAGTTGGAAAATTGAATTATCTTAGTGTGACAAGGCCAGATATCTCCTTCGCAGTGAGTGTTGCAAGTCAATTTCTTGATTCTCCCTGTGACTCCCATTGGGATGCAGTTATTAGAATTCTCCGATATATTAAAAAGGCGCCAGGAAGAGGTTTATTATATACAAATAAAGGGAGTTCAGAGATCTCTAGTTATTCAGATGCTGACTGGGCAGGTTCTCCTTCAGATAGACGATCCACCTCAGGGTATTGTGTTCTTTTCGGAGGAAATTTGATCTCTTGGAAGAGTAAGGAGCAAACTGTGATCGCCAGATCCCAGTGCGGAGGCAGAATATCGGGCAATGGCAAATGCAACCTGTGAGCTCATCTGGCTGAGACAATTGCTGAAGGAACTCCATCTCTGTGAACAAAGGCCTATGAAGCTCATTTGTGACAACCAAGCCGCTTTGCATATATCCTCTAACCCAGTCTTTCATGAGAGGACCAAGCATATAGAAATTGACTGTCATTTTGTTAGAGAAAAGATCCAGTCAAGGGAGATCGAGACAGCATTTGTCAATTCCAATGATCAACTTGCGGATGTATTCACTAAAGCTCTTAGAGGTCCCCGAATAGATCATATTTGTAACAAGCTGGGAGCTTTTGATATATACGCACCAGCTTGAGGGGGAGTGTTAGAAATAATATTATTTTATTATTATTAGAATATTGTGGGCTTGGCCCATTAGGTCATCCCAGTAGGTCTTTTTAGTCTCTATAAATAGAGAGCCTCCTTGTACAGACTTACACACTTGAATATACAATACATTTCAGATTCAATTGATAGCTTGAAGGAACATCTAGCCTTGATAGTAAACAAAAAGAGAATAAAGCAACTTTTTTAAGCATGAGTCCAGGTGCATTTGTATGTTGCCAAGGTGAAAAGATTATGACTTCAAAATAACAACACAAAATAACTAAGGGAAGGAATTATGACTTCAAAATTTGCAACAAAGATTATTAGGGAGTGCATTATAATTCAAAGCATAATCAAATTTGAATATTTGATTCCATCTGAAAATCATTAAAAATTAAGTATTTCAAAATTTCACTATGGTCCCAAAACATGTAATTTAAGAGATAGAGAGGTTCCATGAAGTAATACAGATGAAAAGGACTGTATATGTCAATGTGAGTAGGTTCCTTATTTTTAAATATGTACAAAGGGAAATTATAAAAAAAGAAATTTAAAATCAAATCCCTCTAGTATCTTATCCATGCGTATCCTAAAACTATCTGCCATTAGAAAAAATAAAAATATTGCTTTGTTGTTATGTTAGCATATCCAATGGAAGAGTATAACAATCAGGTATTGCTTGAACATTGAAAATGCAATGGGAAAATTTAAGTATCATGCTTAATAGTTTTAAAGGCTATTCTTTGTGAGTTGGGTTCAGCACGTTCTGTCAGTCTACCATTTTCATAATTAACTTTTGGCTTTTGTTTACATGGTGGTAAGTATTTTGCGGAAATCACTTACACTAATTGATTATTGTCAGGAATTTCTGCCGGCATCAATGTAAAAAGAGACAAAGACCAACATGCAATGCAAACATATATCGGTATACCAGATCTCCAGGGAATTGACTTAAAAAGATAAAATGAAGCTGTCGCCCCAGTAATTAAAAAACACCCAGTATAGAGCTTCCTCTCAGTGAAGCTGTTAACCTGCCAAGCAAACCTTCATCAGATGAATTAGAAACTAACTAGTTTAGAGAATACTATGACAAGTATGCATACCAGGAACTCAAGAATGAAAACTGAGACAGCAGTAGTGGCTAGAAGCTTGGAAATATATATCATTCTTCTTCCAGATAAGAGCTTCCATAATGCTTTTATAAACTGGTATTCACTAATTATTTGAACCCATAAAAATGAAGTCATAATCGTGTATGCGTGGTAAAGAGGAGGAGACTGCTCCAGCAATAATAGCAAACAAAGCATTCCCGTCACCATACATCCATATAGATATATCTGCACAAGATAAGATACATGATTTATTTAATTGATGGCCATTAAAGAAAAAATAACTGATGCTTACACGAAATCAATATGAATCAATTATCTTCCGCTAAGAGTTTTCAAGTAATTCATTCATCTTCATTTATATTTTAGTGTTTGTTTCTCCATGAAGAGAAGAAACAAACACTAAAAGGGGACGAACCGGAGCAGTGGTAAAGCTGTTCTTTCATGACTGAAAGGTTATGGGTTCGAATCTAGGAAACAGCCTCTTTGCAATTATGCAAGAGTAAGGCTGCGTACAAGGATTGCCTCCATCCCACACTCGCTAGTCGAGTTTAACGGGGAGTGATTTTTTTTGGTTTGTTTCTCCATGAAATCTCTTTATTTTCATCAACTTGATGTAACATGCAGCTCAAAGAACTTAGAAATAACATTTTGGAAAGACTAAGCTTACAAAATATTACTTTTCCATGGTTATTTCTCCGAATTGCTTGCTCCATTCCAAAAAGATTTCCTGGAAGTGAAGTATAAGACTGCAGCACATGAAGGACAAGATAGATCATCCAACCAACATACCCAAGGGTAATTACAGACATGAGCATCAGCCAGTCGTAAGTCTGAAAATAGTGAAGTCCTTGCAATGCCAAATTTCTGAGGTTCTGGGATAGGTCCATTGCAGCATCATAATCTCTAGCCAATATCAGACCCTCAATTTTGTCCAATATTGAAGAATAATGAGACAGTGGTTTGAAAGGTTTAAAGTATAAAGAATACGACTGCTTAATATCTGAAGTTGTCAATGAAACCAACATCAAAAGAAATTCTTGGATCAATTTTGTGTCTACATTATCATCAAGAGAAAGAAACATCATTTTTTTGTTATTACTTTCTTATAAAATACTTTACTCATGAATTGGCTCCCTGAAAAACTATATTTTCATATTAATAATTACACCCTTTGGCATATTCTTCTTGTTTACAGAAAAAAAATTAATTTCTATATCATTTCAAGTATAAAACCGAAGCAGAGGATCCCATTCTGAAATCAAAGGAACTGTAGTACAAATCTGTTGGAAAGAAATCCCGAAGTATTATGAGAATCATAGCATCTCGGAATTAGAAGGACTGTGGTCAACTCTGTTTTAGTGTTGTTCTTGTTTTTCTGGGATTTCTAGTTAATTCTGGAAATTGCCTTTTCTTTGTTTCCTTTTTCATATCTTTTTCATTGTTATACAATGTATCTCTGATCATATGATTAAATCATGAGATGGAATAATTTCTCCAAACTCTGATTTTAATTTCACAGATAATAAATCAATGTAAGCAAAGGATACATGATTTGCGAAGAAACTGGTTCAGAATTTCTTTTGTATTGGCTAGAACAGCTTCAACTTCTTCAGCCTGGAACAAATATAAATTAAATATTAGTCAGATCATCTACACATTTATACTCTTCTTCATGCAGATAACTTTCCTACCCTTTCACCACAAGTAGGACAATGGCCAATCCATAATAAATGACATAATATTCCAATGAAGATAGTCAACAAAAGCATGTTAGCCTCCTGTCACAAAAATCAACAATAAGTCTATTATCAATAAGAAATAAAGGAAGATACCTTGGTCATGTTAATGTAATCTAGGGGTAGACTTCCAACTGAATTAACAGGACATGGCAGACCAAGAAGTGTAGACTGTCAAAAAATTGGATAAGTATATCGGATAAATGAAACATAAGGATGGTTAAAGAAATATTCATCACGCTTTCAACATAAATCATCAAGGAAAAATAAATTTTACAACCATGAGTGGTGCAATATCAGCCTGATTGACATCCACCCTCTCTATCCCATGCAAGCCCCATTCAGTTGGTGTTGGCGTGTCATGCACATGGTCATCAACAAACCGAAAACCACAATCAGTATGGTTGCTGCCAGATATTGGCCTTGGATATTTAACACCAGCTCCCCAAGCAACAAGGGGAGTATCAGTGTTTGAAGGATGTCCATCTCCATGGCTTCCTATGATTAGAAATGAAATAATTAAACAAATAATACACTCAACCATTACTATAACCCCTTATTCATTTCAAAACATCAATCAAATAAGAGTAACATAGGCAAAAGAAAAACTCAAATACTTGGAAATGGAAGACTCTTTTTTGTCCATGGCAAGGAATAACTCCAGGCGCAATGATTAAATGCATGTTTCTGGTAGATGATATAGTCCTAACGAGACAGTCAAGAGAGGGAATACATGGTAAACTAGAGATGCGGAGAGAAGCTTTGGAATCACATGGTTTCCAATTAGGTAGAAGTAAGACAAAGTATGTGGAATGCAGGTTCAGCAAGATGCACTCAAGGCGCAAGCACTAGCTTGGAGGTAAACATTGGAGATTACAACATACCACAAGTTTCACAATTTAGGTATCTTGGATCTATCATACATAGATAGATAAATAGAGAGATGTAAACATAGGATTCAAGCTACATGAATGAAATGGAGAAATGGTTTGATAAGAACTAGTTTAGGATCATAAGAAAAAGCAGAAAAGAGTGGGTTTTATGCAATGGACCTCCTCTTGCCAGCAAGAATGAGTCTTGCTTGCAGGAGAGATAGCAAGTTACAATAATCTCCCTCTAACAATCGAACATATATCCAGAGAACAGAATTCTCCGGCCCTCTCCCTTCAACTGATTACTGACCAAAAGCCTACCCTCAATCTGTCCCTTTCCTCTTTTATATAGTTTCCCACATTTATTCTCTAGCTGTCTAACTAATATTACTATTGAAATTATAGGAATTTGGTATATAAGGAAAACGAATGAAATTATACTGATATTATTGTGAGTGATATGATACTAAAATAAGGAAACTAATCATGAAATACAAGGAAATAGCGGAATTATTCCCTTCAACTGATTACTGACCAAAAGCCTACCCTCAATCTGTCCCTTTCCTCTTTTATATAGTTTCCCACATTTATTCTCTAGCTGTCTAACTAATATTACTATTGAAATTATAGGAATTTGGTATATAAGGAAAACGAATGAAATTATACTGATATTATTGTGAGTGATATGATACTAAAATAAGGAAACTAATCATGAAATACAAGGAAATAGCGGAATTATTCCTAACAGATTATCTAGGATACTCTAAACTATTTTATGATATTATACGATCTTTTCTAGATATTCTAACACTACCCTTTGCTTGGAGTAGTGGTAAATCTGCTCCTTGGTGACTAAGAGGTCATGGGTTTGAATTCAAGAAATATTATCTTCACAAATATGTAAGGGTAAATGCTGAATATAAGGATTGACTTCACCAATACCCTCGCTAATTGGGGTTTTATGGGAGTGAGTTTATTATAACACTTCCCCTCAAGCTAAAACTTACTAAATTTTAAGCTTGTTACAAATAAACCCTTTAAATAACATAAATAATCAAATAATACAATCTGAACAACACAAAACATGACTGGAAAGGCAACTCAAGGATGCTCGAGACGTCGGAGAAATGAACATTGATGGAATGAAAATACGTTAAGAACTAAAGCTTCCCTCCAAGTTCATCAAGAATAGCATTTGGAAGATACAAACCACAAGAAAACTAAGCAGACCCTGATAAGACACCCCTAAAGGTATACTTTAGAATACGCCACAAAGGATTTATTCCTCCACCTGTGCTATTAAAGGAGAATGTCATTGCTAACAGAATGCATGATGACAAAAATGTTGTTGTTGTTGCTGACGTGTCTAACAAAATGCATGATGAGGACCTTAGTTAAATAGAGAAAGTTGAATGATAGTAGGCATTTTGGAATTTCGGGCTAATCTTGGGAGGGAATTCAGAGCCCCTCAAACTGCTCTGAGCTTTGGTTCCATTGTCACTATTTTCCCTTTCTTTAGTTATCTTGTTACTCTATCTCTGTAATCTTTCTTTCTCATTACCTGTAATCTTGTAGTAGAATTACGTTGAACTTATTAAATCAATATCAGAACCTGTTTCTTGTTTCTTCATAACATTTCTGATATTAGTTGGTATTTAATAGACCCGAAATGAAAATTGACATTGACGTCAGTGTGCATCACAACCATGATTGTTGGCATGACTTATCAACGAGATAGAAGAAATCACCATTGGTATGATTCACAATGGGAGGTTAATTATTTGTTCATCACTGAATTATAACCACGTTGATGGAACCATACTATATCTGGGACAAATGCTGACAAAACCGAACTACATCAAGGACAAAGTTCCATGAGGCAAGACTATATCTAGGACAAAACCTAAGGGACCATTCTACATATTCTACAAATGGGGCAAAGACCTATGGGACAAAACTGCATCTAGGACAGGTTCGATTAGTATAGAATGTGTCTTCAGAATTTCTCTCACTCAATGCTATGTTGGTATTAGAAAAGAGACACGAGCAGCAACATTATTGGTGGAGGTTGTCATTGAGAAAAGATATAAAGGCACCAACAAGAAAATAAATACTCCGAAAAGATGTATACACCTAAAAAGGTTTCGGAAAAGCTAGAACATTGGAAAAACACATCGAATAAACCAAAAAACCAAAATGATGGGACCTATGGACAATTTATGGTTGAGTAGGTTCGGACGAGTATCGTGCCTATGGTTACAACCAGTAATGAGTTGTCATAGGTGGTGGAGAGTCGTCAGAAAAGACCAAATGCAATGCACAAAGGCAATGCATGTGGGCATGTGAGACGTCGGTTCACTGTGGGTTCGACAGGGATTAGCTAGAAAAGAAGAGTTGCTCTAGATTCGGAGGTCACTGACTAAATGTCAACGATGTAGTTCCCAATCGACTACAAGTTGCTTCCTTGGCACTGCTAACAACAGTGGCCCAAGGAAGCAATGGGTTGATCATTGTTACAATATAAATCTTTTCCCATTTCCTTCCCTTGGCTAAATGAATAACAACTAAACAAGCATATGAATCAACTCTCATTCGCGCAAAAATCCTATCAAGCATTGTGTAATCTTCTCATGAAGTTTGGCTTATGGTTTGTGGAGTTCTCAAATGAAATGGTAGAGAACATGGGAATTGCTAAGCAATCATACTGCCTTTGTAGAGTGGCAATCCATATATGAGCACCAAAGCCATAACCAAACTTAACCTATGGGTGATCGAGTTGGTGCACAATACTCAACATGCTAGGAAGATCCGTGTATTTTAGCAAGCTTGGCTATATATTGTACGTTACAAGAGACTAAGTGATTGTTCCCCTAGGAAAGCAAAGGAAACAATTGAAGTGCACAAGCAAGAACATAGACAACATCTAGAACATAAGAATCAATGTTGTTAACGGACCTTGCTTTTTCATTTGCCTATTTTTCATTTCTTTTTGGATTTCAGATATTGCTTACAAGTCCTCAACAATTTCTTCAGTTGAATAAAATTACCTTCACCTATTGGCTTCTTGCTTACGTTGAATTTGGCTTCATGACTGATATGAGCAATCAAGATAACAAATAAGCAATTAAGATAACAAATACTAGGCATGAAGTAGGCTCTACAAATGCACATAATTATAGGAAAAGTGAAATTGTAAAGAACCAATTCAACTCAAAAGCTTAAACGATTGGGTAAGGCTATATTAATGGTTTTATCTATCTCTAACACGCCCCCTCATACGAGAGCCCACTGGGCAAACAATGCACAGGCCCACCTACCTGTGCTAACAAACTGCACAAAACTTAATTAATTATTGATTAAATGGGGGGCGGTGAGGATCGAACCCATGACACTGAGGCTCTGATAGCATGTAAAGAACCAATTCAACCCAAAAGCTTAAGTTGTTAGGTAAGGCTATATTAATAGTTTTATATATCTCTAACATGAATTAACCATAGTACAAAGTAGAACCTATAACATAAAAGGTATCTTATTTTTTTGTTTTGGTCTCTAGTGGACCTTATGCCATACGAGAGCCCACTGGGCAGACAATGCACAGGCCCACCTACCTATGCTAACAAACTCCACAAGACTTAATTAATTATTAATTAAATGGGGGGCGATGAGGATTGAACCCATGACACCGAAGCTCTGATAGTATGTAAAGAATCAATTCAACCCAAAAGCTTAAGCTGTTAGGTAAGGCTATATTAATGGTTTTATATATATCTAACATGAATTAACCATAGTACAAAGTAGAACCTATACCATAAAAGGTATCTTATTTTTTTGTTTTGGTCTCTAGTGGATCATATGTCATAAGTTGTTGCATACCCTTGGGCATATTCATCAGGTGAGGGCCTCATTCTCCTAACATTGCCATCTTCTCGCTCAAACCCTAAATATTTCTTAGGAACATTGTCTGCCTTCATAACGTCATCCATCGTATAAAGGCCAAGGTCTAGCGATTACGATGGCGGTTGTGAGTTGTTCAGACTTCTCTAGACTCCATATTCTCTAGTCATTGTGGGATATTTTTGTCTTTGCTCTTCACACTCGTACAAGTCATTCACTGTTTATCCCCTTCTTTGTCTCCACTACCAAGGAATAATTATGGTGGCTTCCTTGTTTATGTAATGGTTTATTTCTAGTATTCGCCTTTTTCTGGTGTGCATGCATAGGCAATATTGCCAACAACAAAAAATTAATAGTTTGTCTCCTCTTTGTTGGCCTGTGAAGTAAATGCACTAACAGGATCTTGGACAGCACCCATCTCCTTCTTGACATTGGCTTGCATTTCACGAAGAGTTGTTGCTTCCTCTTCCATATTCTTCAAGATCTTCATCTTGTCCAGTTCATTGACGATGGCATCATCGACAGGGGACATATCCACGTCGAAGCAATCATGGTGAGAGCCGATATCTCCTTCCAACCCTACAACGTCAAAGATCTTGCTGCCATTCACCTCACGTAGTTTGGGAATCTCTAGTTACCTCCATCTTTTCTCTCTCTCCTTTGTTCTTGCATTTTTACTACCATATAACTATCCCTAGATGAATTCAATTGTCGTCCTTCGCCAATAGCCAATAGGTCTTTATGAAAACCCTTGAAAATTTCTTTCCTTTTCTAGAAATAGTATTCTTGGCCCTTTCAGCTCATTGTCAGTCCTCCATCAATTTCATCAAGTCTTTCGAATTCCCTCTCGTTTTGCTTATTGTTTGTCCTCCATCAATTTTTCTAAGCATTTGAATCTTCACTATGATGACTATAGCCATGCTTTCATTATCGTACAAAGTGTGAATGAACTCCCTCAATTTGGGAGCCTTGAGACAGATTGACAGGAATTGGTTTAGAATAGCAAGAAAATGAATAAAAGAATGGGATTTTATTGAATGGACCTATGTTCAACAGCAAGAATGAGTCTTGCTTGCAAAAGAGATAGCAAGTTATAGTAATCCCTCTATAACAATCGAACATGAATCCAAAGAAAAGAATTCCATGTTCCTCTCCCCTCAACTGATTACTAACCGAAAGCCTTCCCTCAATCGGGCCCTTGCCCCTTCTATATAGTTTCCTGCCCTTATTTTCTAATTGTTAAACTAATATTACAATCTATTGAAACAACTCCAACAACTAACAGCCTGTATGCTTCTTACTTCCATAACCTATATTTTACAATTTAGGGGGTTGCTAACATGGTTCTATCGTTTTGTGATTGAAAGGTACTGGTGCCTCTAAAGCACAATAAAATTTTACAACACTTCCATAATACCCCAGCAATGCTTTACATTAATGAAATTTAGAGAGTAAACTAGATAGGATGAAAATGTGTTTCATACATGTCTCAATATATGTAAGTTTTGGTGTTAATTTCAATGATTCTATTCTGGATATATATAATCCTAATAGATTCTACAAAATATACATGATATCACCTAATATATTTTAACATCTGAAAATAATCCAAGTACTGGATTTTGGAAAACCATATCCTCTTTAATTACCCCAATGGCTTCCTTGTGGAAGTTGAGTTTGATAGCATTACATTCTCAAATAATAGCCAGGAAGAAAGATAGCAACTCATGCGATTAGGTTTTCACTAGAATATACAATCTTGTTTCTAACTAAGCTTGGTTATTATGTCTCTTTAGTGGCCATCTAAACCACATACATATGTGTCAGCAAAAGAAAAGACATAAATATCTACCACTTCCAATGCTAGTAAATGGTAGATATTGAGACATCCTTTTAACAAATTCTTGCTTTTGCACGTTTCAACACCTCTACTGATATTAACATATTTTTGTTTATGACATGAATTAAAAGAATATCCAGACATAAATATGGTACAGAAGTATTGCAACCTTTGTCACTCATCCCATGATCCGCTGTAAAAATATATGCTGTACGATTGTCCTTGAAATAATCTTCAAGAAGATTATAAACACTTTCAGCTACATGGTCAACAACCTTAACATTGTTGAGATAGATGGATGAAAAGGGCCTATGTGCATGGCCATTAGAGTCACATCCAAGCAGGTGCAGGAATACAACAAGATTATCTTGGTGCAGTAACCCCTTTAACTTTGAATCTTCACTGGACCTATTAAGAAGGCTTTGAAATTTATCAAGAGACCACATGTCCAGGAATGATGCATCTGCATTAGTAATTTAAGAATACTGATTTGATGACTGTATGAAATTAAGGAGTAAAGAATTTAATATTCAGCATGGTAAATATTTTACATTTCAACCAAGTATACTATCATGTAGGATTTCAAAAATTTCAAATTAGCAGGACCAAGGAAAATTTTCAAGATAGCACTTTGACCACTCACTGTATTAACATTTTTACCCGTAAGAAAGTCTTAATAAGCCCCTAGGTTCAAAACTTGAGCACAGACAATGGGAAAGTGTCGAAAAGTAGTGAGCGCCGGAAAAAGTGTTAAGAACAACAAACAGTGGGACCTATGATCGGAAAATCCCTGAGAAGGCCGAGGATGATGTCATGTACGGATATGTGAAGGAGCGAACATATATATTGGCATATCTGATCAAACCACACACACACACTATATGTATATATTGGTGTGGGAAACAATTACAATTATTACAATTGATGCTACAATCAATCCTAATTGATTCGCTAATAAATACATAATTTCGTATCGTAATCATCTATTATATTTACGCATCTATAGAGATATTCTAATAATTCTAACATAAATACAGACCACAGTCTATTATTTCCTATTGGGTCTGATTTTTTTTAAAAAAAAAGAAAAGAAAACCAACAACAACAAAGATTTCAAAAAATATTAGGAGAGAAAAAAGTTATCTATACAACACTAACAACAAAAGCCTTTTCCCACTAGGCGGGGTGTGCTACATGGATCAAACAATTCAATTATGCTTTTCTGAATTTATTGCTTACTTGTAAAAATGAAGTAGACTAAAAAAAACTAATTGCTGCAAAGGCTTAAGTTATTTGGCTCAGGTCAACAAACAGTTTAAATTGTATCTCAAACAAAAATTATTGGGAAAGATGCTTATAATTGAAACAGTGCATATTGAAAAAATTGCTGTCAAACCAGTTGCAAAGTCTTCAAACTCATGCGGATAGGTATCCCAGGTGCTATGTGGCAAAGCACCACAGAAAATCGGAACTATATCAGGACTTCCAAAAGAAATTGTATGCCGGCTTCTGTTAAACACTGAATCAAACTCAACAGGATTAGCCTTCCACCCTGCAGCATACACAAACCAATAATTTAGCAGACACAAGGCAGTGCAATTCAGCCAACCATCAAGATGACAAACGAATAAATAATACACCACCTTTGGTAACTGCACTGGGGTCTTCATAGAAACCAGCAATTATGGCAACATGTCCAGGCCTCGACTCCGTAGGAGGCCGAGCATGAGATACCCCCCAGCGACCTTGCGTTTTAATTATGTTCCTTAAAAACGGTGCTCTGTAATTCCCTTCGGAATCAGGCTCATAGAACTTATCAGCACGCAAACCATCAGCTGCATTGAAATATCAGGCCTCCCAGTAAGTAAAACCAAGAATTTCGTACACATTTTACTGAACAAGTGAGATCAACCCGGTACTGATAATTGTTGAACATTTATTTACATGTTGGTTATATTCAACCACTTTCAAACAGCACTCAAAAAAAAAAACAAAATTGACTACAACTTATCCTAAAGTAAGGTACAATAACAGCAACCCCAAGAATCACTAAAAAATGCGGCTACATTCGAAAGAGTGAAATTGTCAAACAGGTGGTGTGCAATATTCATTCGAACGTACCAACTAGAAGAACGAGGCGTTTAGCAGGGGCAGTGAAGCGAGGAGTAACAGGATCCATGCCATGGACAATAGGTGTCTTGAAATAAATGTCAAAAATGCTGAGCATGTAAACAGCGTGAAGGATCACGCCAAGTACAACAAGCCATCTCTCTCTTGTCTTCAACCACTTCCTTCGGTTGCTTGTGGTAGCTTTCGCTCCTAGGCTTTGGCCATCTCTGTTTCCTAAGATCCCATCACTGCGCATTTTTACTTTTTCTTTCTTTCTTTTTCTTCTCCCACTTGGATCAAGCTTTGCTGTGAGTGACGTTCGTTCAGTTTTGGGTCACCTACTAGTTTGAATCCCGGAAAATTGGGTAGAGTACTGAGTAGTGACTGCTGAACAGCAACGATGTGCAAGTGAAGGAATCCAAACACTTAAAACGGTTTTTTTTTTCGTCTGCCTTGTTGTGTTTACTGTTTAGTTGGGATTTGCAACGTCTCCCACTATGCGCCTACTACGTTTTTTTGGACCCGACCCGGCTCTGTTCATAGTCTACAGAAAACCGCGGCCCAATACACTCTCCCAACCAGGGAGGTCAACCACACGAGTCGATACTTAAATAGCATATCTTCTTTCCTCCGTTTATAAATTTTATTTTACAAATTACGTTATGTATGATCGGTTATACATTTTTTGATTAAAGTATGATTGATCATACTTACTGTAGTTTATAAACCAAAAATTTATAAATATAACATTTCTTATCTTCTTTTATTAAAAATAGCAACAACAAAAAAATATAAGACCAAATAATAGTAGTTCAGTTGGCGTCATCGAACTAAATAGTTGAGGTTAAAAGCATGTGTTCGATCTTTTCTAATACCGTCTTTGGATAGAGTTTAAAAATTTTAATCTCCGAACCCATTTCGAATTGGACTAATCACTAAGGGATAAGTTGTAAAAAAAAATGAGATTTAGTGGCATTTATTATAAAAATGTGAGTAGAATAAAAGTGTGAGTTGAATAGAATCAATAGATAAAGCCAATTATATTAATTTTTCTAATTTTAATAAAAAAAATACTCAGTCTTAAATATTTTGGTAATATTAAAAATATTTTCCTACTGGACGTAAATGTTGATGAGACTAAAAAATTATTTGAGGTTAAAAATTATATAATCAAAAGCTCAATCATTTTTCTAAAATCATATAATGAAATTACATAGTGTTGAGGATCAAATATGAAATTGAGGAGTCAAATATGAGGAGATTCAAGTTGATCATCATTTTTTTTTCCAATTCTATAAAAAATAAATAAAACCCCATCATAATAGAATATTCGCACCGTATATGTTGTGTTCTAGATGGTTAAGCCAATTTATAATCCTAATTTTTTTTTTCTCATGGTGCACTTACATCATGCTACCTATTTGACTTGACTTGAAAGGTCTTCTCTCACCAATTTTATTTTAATAGTCCTACATTACTCTTTTTTTTTTTGATAAATAATTGTCCTACATTACTTAGAGCCTGTTTGGATCCTTTTATTTTTAAGCTAGAAGCTACTTATAAGATAAAGCGAAAATAAAGAGCTTAAAAAAAGAAGCTAAAAGCTGTTTGGAAATTACAAAAAAAATTTAGCTTAAAAATTACTTAAAAGCACATATTTCAAGAAAATTGTCTCTTTTTCTATCTTTATCACTCTTCATTTAAAAAAAAAGCACACAATTCAAGAAAAACAGATAAGAGCTTAAAAAAAACTCCTCCTAGGAGCTTTTAATTTTCAGTTTTTTCTTCATTATAAAAAAAAGAGCTTTTCGTTATAAGAGCTTTTTTCAAAACCTGTTTGGCCTAGCTTATGCTTATAAGTAGCTTCTAGCTTAAAAATAAGAGGATCCAAACAAGCACTTAATGATGTGTTCTAATGTTTTGTTCATCTTTTTGAGCTCTACATTGAGAAAAAATGTGAAATTTATGTGTGGGGAAAGGATTTAAGCTTTTAATTGTTCTTAAAATATAATAAAATATCTAACTAGGATAGTAGAAGGCAATATAGGATCATTACATGGACAACCCTTCTTCCTTTAATATAGACAGGTAAAACAATTACCAACCTAAACATGCAATCACACGTCCATCCTAAAGTTCATAAATTTCTCAAAACACATAAGGTTCCTTACTCCTCTTTTCTCTCTATATGCAGGGACTCACCTTTACATGAGCAAAGCTACTATGTTCTAGCAACCGAAAATCCAAATAACGAAGTTCTCATGCAAATATGGTTCCGGTAATTATTTAGTGAGGCTTATGAGTTTCCACTTCCACGCAACCTTTAACGAGAAAAATGATTTCTAATAATTATGGGGACAAGGATATATCTTCTAAACCCCTTTGGATTATTATACAATAATCTTATTTTTAATCCCAAAAGGTTCATTAAATTGTCATGAAAATTCCTTGTAATTTCTTTTGATTAATAACATCGTTCATTAATTTGTTAAATAAATTAAAGTTGAAATTTTGGCATGTTACAAGATTTTTTTACCAAAACTATTAAAAATAAGCTTTCAGTTGCAATTAATTATACTCGAAAATATTTCCTATAATTCAAGTTATGACCCCCTCAAAGTGCACTGACTTAATGTGAATGACATAGCTGAGATAAATTTATAGAATTTAGGATTTTTTATGTAACAATTTATAGTTTAGACTTTAATGTAACAATTTTTTTTTGCGTGGAATCCTTGAATATTGGAATGAAGAAAGCATAGCATGTCATGGCGTAAAGCTTATAGTTATCATATTGAGTGTTGTTCAAAGTGACTAAAGTTATGAGTATAACTACATTATATACACACTCTTCATGCATTCATTTACATTAGAGTAGTAAAAATGACCTCAATCATGTGGGTTGGGTTAGGGTTTATTGTTGGTGAGGCTAATATCTTGGTTTGGCAAGGCTTAGTAGGGGATCGGGGTCAGATTGAATCATAATGCTTAGATTGGTACGGGTAAGTAGAAAGAGTTACGCCCTAACTAACAGCTATAACTTTTGACCTAGTGATAAGCACTCGATCCAACACTTGATATCAGAACCGAGATCATGGGTTTGATTCCCTGAGATGACACTTTGTGGTATATATGATTATAATTAATATCAATAAGAGCACAATCCGCTGAGGTGCAAGTGTAACCTTAGTAAGATACATTTTCCTAGCTCAGCATTATAACCAACCATTAAATGATGGGGTTTGATTTTCTTATGTTGCATAAGAATTGAATTCTCATGTTGTGACTCAATTAATGGTGGGTCCCACATTTATTAAAAAAAGAAAAGAAAAAAAAGTTTTGCACACAAATCGAAGGGTCACAACATGATAATTGAATTCTCATGCAACATGAGAAAATATTTTTCCTTAAATAATTAAGTTTCTTAGACACTGCTTTGTATCCTATAGGAGCTCAATAAGTAAGGAACGATATGTCAGCAGGTGATGAGTTTGTTTTCCTTACTTAAAGACTCAGGAAAAGCTTACCACACTTCAGCTCACAAGATGTCACCTCATTCTCCTCAAGAAGTTAGAAACATTTTGAAAAGTTTAGAGCAGTTGGATTTTTTCAAAATCTAAGCAAGGTAATATATTGAAAATGAGTAATGATATTTATGCATCTTCATAAAACTTTTTAGTCATTGTTTTGGTAAAAAATAAAGGGGTTTGTTTTTCTCATGTTGCATGAGAAAACAAACCCTTCCTACACACACCATAAAAAGGTATGCCACTCATTTTTTTTGTTTTTTATTTTTTATTTTTTTAAATAGGTGAATCCCACATTTGATATATCTATAACATGGGATTAAAATTCTTCTACAACATAAGATTTATTTTTCCCAAAAATAGAACATGTAAAGTCTTCCTTATTTTATTATATAAAAAAACAGTATAAGAATGACTTAGAATCTTTTATGTGCAAATATCATTATTGATTGAAAATTAATGAGTTGTTGTGTTGAAATTTTTTTCTTAGAAAGGCTTGTATGAGTTTGGGTGAGAGATCATCATTAATTTAAAGGAGAAGGCGATTCCACTATGGCACCCCTGCTCCACTGCTCCACCACTTACCACGATACAATCCAATACAGATAAAGAGGATAAATAATTGTTCTTAAATGTGGCACTCCTAAGCTAGATTGGGGTATTATAATTTGACTTTGAAATAAGAATAATTTGTTGTCACCAAAAATTTTAATTCAACAACAAATAAAAAATCACGGCCTTACGAGATACGTTGTTACAAACCATGCACGTGCAACCTCAGAAGTTTTATCAAATTCTTTCAATTGATACCCTACTCCAGTGGCGGAGCCACATCTTACCTGAGGATGGCCTCGACCCGGGCTAAATTTTAACAAATTGTACTTATCATGTATAATTATATAATTCATTATAATTTGGCTCGGTCTAAAATTGTAATTTGGCCTGGGCTAAAATTTATAATTTGGCCCTATAAAAAAAATATATATATATATTTGGTGAGAGATTTGGGTAAGTTGTATTAAGTATGTGTTACATTTTCACTTATATAAAAAAATTTAAATATATTTAATAAAATTAAAAAATATTTAATAAAATTATAACTCTTTTTGATATTGTCTGCTCAGGTGTTTTGTATTTAATATAATTTAAATATATTATGATATGAACTAATTAAAATTAAGAAAAATAAATACACATATAATTTTTTGACACAGGCTCCAATTGGAGCCTGGCACCGCCACTGCCCTACTATGCCCATAAATTTATGGATTTGTTATCCTTTATGCTTGTACTTGTCAAGAATAAAATGAGCATTTATAAAATGAAGGATAAGCCCAGATCACAGCTTGTTTCGTACTGCCTCGGGTTGGAAGCTTTTCATGGTGAGCTCTGCTAGGGTTTCGGGAGGTTCAACTATCTTAGGGGAAATGGATAAAAAATCCAAGTCGTTAGAAGAAGATGACTTATTGAGGAGAAGCATAGAGAAACCAAAAGAGAAGGAAGATGAGTCAATGACTGGGATGGAAGAAACGGAAGTGGCCAAAGGAAATGAAGTGGTAAGTGCTGAGTCAATGGAGGTACAGAAAAGTAGCGACAATACAATGGTAAAGAAGGTGATATCCTATAGGGATACACTACTCCAGTTTAATGGTTCCAGGGGAGAGGATGAAGAAGAGGAACACTGGATGGAACAACAGCTACGTGAAGAGGAGAAGGAAGATATCCAAGAGGAAAAAATGAATAAAGCCGAAGAAGATCCTTTCTGCCTCTCATTCATCTACCCGAAAGAGGTCCATAAAGAAGCATGCAAAAAGTGGAAGAACGCACTAATAGTGAAGTTGCTAGGGAAGAGACTGAATGTAAAATATCTTCTAGGATGACTGCTGAAAATGTGGAGCATATCAGGGGCTTAT